GGTTTTCCCCTCACAATAATGTGGTTGTTTCCTCCTAATATATCGCTGTGTTTTGATTCTGATTGTTTCTTGTTTGTTAAATTTATTCTCGTTTTATATTTTTGCATATTTGTATAATGGCCTGTGAGTACTCACATGTTGGTACCCCTGCACAACAGGTATGGGGGTCACAAACTCTAGGCGCCTGTAGTGTAGCGTAGTACCAGCGACTGCCCACACGACAACCACGCCCGGGACCTCGGAGGAGAGGTCATTTATAGTCTCTCATTGTAGCCTCTCATTTTGCACTATGATATTAGTCGGATAAACAAAAATTTTAAACTTTTTTGAGCCCTTACGGTCGAAACTAGTGGAGCCGAGTTCCCCGGCACGCGTGGGTGTCTGTGTGTCTTGACGTGCAACAAATCTCAGGTGTTTGCCGCGGTAGTGTTGCCCGCCCTGTTGTGCAAGGGAGGTTATCCTTGCAATAATATGTGAGCAATAAGTGCAAGTGGCTCCAGGCAACACCGGCCTCTGCAGCATTTTGGGGGCATGGTTTTTTTCCAACCTTAGACTTGTTATAAACAAGAGGTAACTAGTTCATGTATGCATAGGCTCGAATTTCGGTTCTTGTGGACCGGCTGTTGTTAAGCGGCCTATTAGAATTTATTGTAGATGCTGACAGGCTCTCCACCCCAAAATGCTCAGGCCTAAGTTGCGCTGGAAGTTTATATACATGGATTATTAGCAATAGGATGTATATATAAATATATTCATGACGCAAAAAAGTATCCTCCCTAAAGAGGAAATAATTATAAAATGAATATAACTATTATATTATTTAGCCATTAAGACGTACCACGGCACACTTAGCATTGTGCCAGGGAGCCTAGCCGAGCATAAAGCTGGGTTCTTTATGTTTATTTATCAAGCTGCCTAAATATTGTTGTGTGAGACTAAGCCGTGAGTCGTATGTGCATTGTATAAACCTCAGCTCCTCACCTCGCGTCAGCCTTCAAGCTCCGCCCCGCCCAAGTCCCCCGCGTTGCTCAGGCTTCACGGATTGGTGGATTCAAATTTCTCCGCCAGACCTGCCCCCAACCGGCATCATCGGCGCTTTCAATAGGCTCGTGATTGGCTAGATTTTTTGCTTGAAATTCTGAATATACCAATCACGCAGTTTTTAGAGAAATGGGCGGAGACTGGGCGGGGCTTCTCTTGCAGACTGAAAAAAATCGCCGGAGGAAGGAGCAGCTTTGTGAACATTAGGATGCCCGTTCGTCTGTCGGGCGTCCTGGGGGTGTGTTCTTATATACGCTAAACGTTAAGGTAAGACATGGTAATACAGTATGATACTATACCTGAAGGAAACAAATAAAGATGTATTGTCCACAAACTGTATTAAGTATGTTTCCTTAATCCTTCATATTATACTGAGAAGAGAGGTTGTTGAATCTTATTCACATTATACAAGAAGTGGAGTGATTGTTCAATCTTAATGATCCTACAATGAGTAAAATGAATATTGAATCTTACTCAATTCAATATATAAAAATAGAAGACACTTTCTACGGGGGAAATAATAATAATAAAAAAAAACTTTTTTAATTGGGTAGATTAACAACAACTAGAGTCAATCTATCTATCTATCTCTCTCATATATATAATATAATATAATATAATATAATATATATATATATATATATATATATATATATATATATATATATATATATATATATATATATATATCTATGCCCACGGGGACAGTGTAAGCGTAGGGAAATTGGGTGTGTTTGTTCATCAGAAAATAAATTTAAATTAAGTTCGCACAATATCGAAAAAGATATAAAAGTGTCATTCGAGTGTAGGATTTACTGCCCAGACACTGTCCCAGACACTGCCCCAGACACTGTCCCAGACAGTCCCAGACACCGTCCCAGACACTGTCCCAGGCACTGCCCCAGACAGTCCCAGACACTGTCCCAGACACTGTCCCAGACACTGCCCCAGACACTGCCCCAGACAGTGCCCCAGACAGTGCCCCAGACAGTGCCCCAGACAGTGCCCCAGACACTGTCCCAGACACTGTCCCAGACACTGTCCCAGACACTGTCCCAGACACTGTCCCAGACACCGTCCCAGACACCGTCCCAGACACCGCTCCAGACACCGCTCCAGACACCGTCCCAGACACCGCCCCAGACACTGTCCCAGACACTGTCCCAGACACTGCCCCAGACACTGCCCCAGACACTGTCCCAGACACTGCCCCAGACACTGGCCCAGACACTGGCCCAGACACTGGCCCAGACACTGGCCCAGACACTGGCCCAGACACCGTCCCAGACACCGTCCCAGACACCGCCCCAGACACCGCCCCAGACACCGCCCCAGACACCGCCCCAGACACCGGCCCAGACACCGTCCCAGACACCGTCCCAGACACCGCCCCAGACACCGCCCCAGACACTGTCCCAGACACTGTCCCAGACACTGTCCCAGACACTGTCCCAGACACTGTCCCAGACACCGCCCCAGACACTGCCCCAGACACTGTCCCAGACACTGTCCCAGACACTGTCCCAGACACCGTCCCAGACACCGTCCCAGACACCGTCCCAGACACCGCTCCAGACACTGTCCCAGACACTGCCCCAGACACTGTCCCAGACACTGTCCCAGACACTGCCCCAGACACTGCCCCAGACACTGTCCCAGACACTGTCCCAGACACTGTCCCAGACACTGCCCCAGACACTGCCCCAGACACTGCCCCAGACACTGTCCCAGACACTGTCCCAGACACTGCCCCAGACACTGTCCCAGACACTGTCCCAGACACTGTCCCAGACACTGCCCCAGACACTGTCCCAGACACTGCCCCAGACACTGTCCCAGACACTGTCCCAGACACTGCCCCAGACACTGTCCCAGACACTGCCCCAGACACTGTCCCAGACACTGTCCCAGACACTGTCCCAGACACTGTCCCAGACACCGCCCCAGACACTGTCCCAGACACCGCCCCAGACACTGTCCCAGACACTGTCCCAGACACTGTCCCAGACACCGTCCCAGACACCGTCCCAGTCACCGCCCCAGACACTGCCCCAGGCACCGCTCCAGACACCGCCCCAGACACTGCCCCAAACACCGCCCCAGACACCGCCCCAGACACTGTCCCAGACACTGTCCCAGACACCGCCCCAGACACTGCCCCAGGCACCGCCCCAGACACCGTCCCAGACACCGCCCCAGACACTGCCCCCGACACTGTCCCAGACACCGCCCCAGACACCGCCCCAGACACTGTCCCAGACACCGCCCCAGACACCGTCCCAGACACCGTCCCAGACACTGTCCCAGACACCGCCCCAGACACCGCCCCAGACACCGCCCCAGACACCGTCCCAGACACCGCCCCAGACACCGTCCCAGACACTGCCCCAGACGCCGCCCCAGACGCCGCCCCAGACACCGCCCCAGACACCGCCCCAGACACTGTCCCAGACACTGCCCCAGACACTGTCCCAGACACTGCCCCAGACACCGCCCCAGACACTGTCCCAGACACCGCCCCAGACACTGCCCCAGACACCGCCCCAGACACTGTCCCAGACACCGCCCCAGACACCGCCCCAGACACTGTCCCAGACACCGCCCCAGACACCGTCCCAGACACCGCCCCAGACACCGCCCCAGACACTGTCCCAGACACCGCCCCAGACACCGCCCCAGACACTGCCCCAGACACCGCCCCAGACACCGCCCCAGACACCGCCCCAGACACCGCCCCAGACACCGCCCCAGACACCGTCCCAGACACTGTCCCAGACACTGTCCCAGACACTGCCCCAGACACCGCCCCAGACACTGTCCCAGACACTGCCCCAGACACTGTCCCAGACACTGCCCCAGACACCGCCCCAGACACTGTCCCAGACACCGCCCCAGACACTGCCCCAGACACCGCCCCAGACACTGTCCCAGACACCGCCCCAGACACCGCCCCAGACACTGTCCCAGACACCGCCCCAGACACCGTCCCAGACACCGCCCCAGACACCGCCCCAGACACTGTCCCAGACACCGCCCCAGACACCGCCCCAGACACTGCCCCAGACACCGCCCCAGACACCGCCCCAGACACCGCCCCAGACAACGCCCCAGACACCGCCCCAGACACCGTCCCAGACACTGTCCCAGACACTGTCCCAGACACTGCCCCAGACACCGCCCCAGACACTGTCCCAGACACTGCCCCAGACACCGCCCCAGACACTGTCCCAGACACCGCCCCAGACACCGCCCCAGACACCGCCCCAGACACCGCCCCAGACACCGCCCCAGACACCGCCCCAGACACCGCCCCAGACACTGCCCCAGACACCGTCCCAGACACTGTCCCAGACACTGCCCCAGACGCCGCCCCAGACGCCGCCCCAGACACCGCCCCAGACACCGCCCCAGACACTGTCCCAGACACCGCCCCGGACACCGCCCCAGGAGCAGTAGCCGCAGACGACGGAGCCAGCGCTATGTGACACACTGAGCTGTCAACGACTGATCATCTTCACTGGGTGTTAACACTACTCACTTGGCCTGTGTGTCCAATAGGCACTTCATGTACCTCTATCGTCATACGGAAACACGATTCTCAAAAAAAAAATGTATCTTCATCTGTTACAGTGTAAACCTTCTATCAGAAAGGCTTTCTCTGCTGTAAACTTAAAGATCTCGCCTGTGGTACAGGGACATTAATGTTGTCTGCTGTTGGGTTTAAGCCCATCAACCTCTGCAGGGATAGTAAGGCCACCACAATAGCTTACTGACCAACTAGTACGTATACTTTTGTCCCTAAACATAATACATACCTAAAAAGTATACCGAGTATATATACACCAAGAAGCGGGGGTATACCTCACTACATATATATCCCTTAACAACCATTAGACCGTGTTTCGGCAGCCACTAACAGTTTGCTGCCCTTCGACTTCAAAGAACCAATCTGGCCATTGATGACCGAGTCTCCCAAGGTGATCGGCGCAGGACGTCCGAGCACCGGACGACGACAACAAACAGGTAAGAAGCTTTGGTTATTTCCTGTCCACGAGGTTAATGGAGAAGTTGTCGCAACTGGCTGAATAATTGAGGGACTTGACGAGGAGAGGACTTGATGTTCTCCCGAGTACGTTCCCTCTGTGTGTTAAATTGGCTGAAGACTACAGCTTGATGTGCGCCAACTTAAATCAAGATATAGAGAATAGCAAGTACAAATTAAGTTTGATATTTGTCGGGTTGGTGATGAATAGTGCACCACCTGTACAGGCACGCCCAGGTGCACCACCTGTACAGGCACGCCCAGGTGCACCACCTGTACAGACACGCCCAGGTGCACCACCTGTACAGACACGCCCAGGTGCACCACATGTACAGACACACCCAGGTGCACCACATGTACAGACACGCCCAGGTGCACCACCTGTACAGACACACCCAGGTGCACCACCTGTACAGACACGCCCAGGTGCACCACATGTACAGACACGCCCAGGTGCACCACATGTACAGGATAAACAATTAGAAGTTATGATATCCAAACGACAAATCAGAAAATGAAAAAGACTCCGTATCGCTCCGCCCTGTTAAATGGAGAACCCGTTCCGTATACGTTGTTCCGTTTGTTCTACGAACGAGTGCGTTAATTTTATGTAGATAACGCACTTACTCTACGTTATAGCGTCATACATTACGTAGATAAGTTTCAAGTTACTGGTTATGCTGAACTTGGCTACCATGGACCAGGTGATGTAAGAGGGGTCGTATCTTAGACCTGTCAGCCAGCCCGGCTTTGGTGCCATTGCTGCCTGGCATAAGCCCACACTCTCGTACGCCGCGTTTAACCTAATTATTGTGCAACTTCTCCCTTAGGAAGATTTGATTTAGGTACCACCAGACTACTTACCCAGGTATGACAAACTGAAAGTCAAGTCAAGTAGGATGGATTTAATGAAGTTTGGTGAAATGTTCATTTGTCGCCCATATAATTATGTAGAAGTCATTGCAATAGATTGATGAGAAGTCATTGTAATGGATTGATGAGAAGTCATTGCAATAAACTGATGAGAAGTCGTTGCAATAAACTGATGAGAAGTCATTGCAATAGATTGATGAGAAGTCATTGCAATAGATTGATGAGAAGTCATTGCAATAGATTGATGAGAAGTCATTGCAATAAACTGATGAGAAGTCGTTGCAATAGATTGATGCATTGTTTTCGCATGTGGCGATAGCATGTTCTTATAAAGCACTATAAACAAAACTGTAGGGGGGGGGGGAACTCACAAATAAATCAAGTTAGAGGTACTATAGACATATTAATTGTCGTAGAGGAACATATTTAAAGAGTCGATTAGAAACTACTTAAAACAAACTTACCACCCGGCTGACGCCTTTAAAATAGCCCACAATATTATAGCATAATAATGCTTACGAACACTTGTTGAACAATGACAAAACCAATTCCAACAATATTTTGGAGAGTATCGTATTGATAACACAGTTCATTGTATGTAATCAGTTAACCAATCGTCAATATGATTACAAATCAGTGATCTAACAACTGATTTTCACCATTATACGATTTCGTTTGTTCCTATTATCTAGACGAATCTAATTAAAGGTCTTAAGCTTGATTACGGAATCATCAATGTCCACACAGACATTGTAGTTAATGGTATGTGGTAGTTAGTGGTATGTGGTAGTTAATGGTATGTGGTAGTTCAGGCTACACAACACACTCAAACTAGGGTGTTGTATTGATCTATTTTGTATAAAGTATTCTAAAAGGTTTCCTTCTTGATAATGACCGATAATTGTTGAAACTTTTAGTAAATCTATTGTGGCCGACCGAAACTGATCAACAAGTCCTCTGAGAACGTCGCTTTTCGGTCGTATGCGTTACATAAGGCCAAACATTGTTGTACTCGAATTTGGAAGACGCTGGCGAAAGTAACGAACTGTCCCGTTTTCTGTTTTGGGTCCTCTGGTAGGTTAGGAGAGGACACTTTAACTTGACCGTTTTGTTGACGTCGGGAAACCTTAGGAGGACGGACTGGCTGATTACGGTCGACCGAAATATGTTGCGAATGACCGAAATTTATATTTTCGTTACCTGGAGCCAGGTAACGAACCAGATAACGAACAAGGACCACAGTCCTGGACCCTGATTCACGAAGCAGTTACGCAAGTACTTACGAACGTGTACAGCTTTCCTCAATCTTTGACGGCTTTGGTTACACTTATTAAACAGTTTACAAGCATGAAAACTTCCCAATTAATTATTGTTATTGTTATAAACAGCCTCCTGATGCTTCGGAGCTCATTAACTGTTTAATAATTATAAACAAAGCCGCCAAAGATTGAGAAAAGGTGTTCACGTTAGTAAGTGCTTGCGTAACTGCTTCGTAAATCTGGCTCCTGAAATCCGTGTTATAAAAAAAATGATGGCGTCTAGATATTGTTTATTCTTGTCGCGGCCTTTGTGAGTGCGCGTCTTGGTATGCGCGCGCGCGTCTTAGTGTGTGGGGTATCTGGTGGGACACTGGCGTTTGGTATTCCTTAGTGTTCTCGACTGTCAATATTCTATACCACGTTTTTGAGCCGTTATGTCGAGTGATATGATTAGAACGGAAGGTGTAACTCAAGACACTGAGCAAAGTCAAGCGTCGCACAAATTCGCATTGCATTATCGTATCGCTTGCATTATAATGCGTATTATATCGACCGCTTCTACGATGCAAGATGATACCGTTCAACTCCCGTCCTCTCAGCCAGTAACCGTTTGATTTTACACGCTGTGGTCTCCAACGCCCAAAAATAAAGTCGCCCCCTCACAGGTATCCACGTTTTCTATACGTAGGATGGTTAGGTTAGGTGGGTGGCTTGGGTTTGTACGTTTCTGATTAGGGTTAGCACTATGTATTTCGCACGTTGTGGCAGACCTAGAGAAGAGGGAGTTATTCACCACCCGCGTGACGGAGCGTGTACGCATCAACGAAGTGCGTAAATGTTCCGAAAACACTCGAATTTTGACGCATTGTTATTTGATTACCGTGGTTCCTCTCCTCTTCCTTCCCCCCTCTTCCCTTTTTCTCGTGCTTCCTCTTTTTCATCCGTTTGGCTTCATTCTTTTTCACGTTTCCATCTCTCCCACATGTTTCAATCCTCGCGTTTTCACGCCACTTCCTTTAAATTCACCTCTTTGCTAGTTTCCCCTTATCCTATTTCTCCTCACCTTCCCTTTCTTCCCCTTCTCACCCCCTTCCCCTCAGTTTCCTTTTCCTACCCTCTAACCCCCCCCCCTCACTTATCTTCTCACCCCCCCCCCTCATCTTCCCTCTCACCCCCACGCCTTACCTTCCCTCTCTCACCCCTCCTCTCCTCACCTACCCTCTCACTCCCTTACCTTCCTTCTCCCCCCTACCCCTTACCCCTCCCTCTCCCCCACCACTCACCCCCCCCTCTCACCTCCACTCCCATTTCCCAAAGCACACGCCACCCAGAACTGGCCGATGCAATGAAAATTACACCGAAACTGAGAGGAATAAAACGGTACGATAACAAAACCAAAAAAAAAAAGATGGTCCGGGTAAAAAATGGCTAATGGAAATCTACCGTTCCGGCGAGGCTCTTTATATGCGATGAAATTTTTAACTCTGCCATGATGCGGGCCTTTCACCGCCTCCCCGAGCCCGGGACACTTCATGCCAGGAACATCTGTGTGTGGCAGCGGTGTGGTGTGCATCTGTGTGTTACTGCCTCCCCGTGTGTGTGTGTGTGTGTGTGTGTGTGTGTGTGTGTGTGGGTGTGTGTGTGGGTGTGTGTGTGGGTGTGGGTGTGGGTGTGTGTGGGTGTGTGTGTGTACTCACCTAGTTGTACTCACCTAGTTGTGTTTGCGGGGGTTGAGCTCTGGCTCTTTGGTCCAGCCTCTCAACCGTCAATCAACAGGTGTACAGATTCCTGAGCCTATCGGGCTCTGTCATATCTACATTTGAAACTGTGTATGGAGTCAGCCTCCACCACATCACCCCCTAATGCATTCCATTTGTCAACCACTCTGACACTAAAAAAGTTCTTTCTAATATCTGTGTGTGTGTGTGTGTGTGTGTGTGTGTGTGTGTGTGTGTGTGTGTGTGTGTGTGTGTGTGTGTGTGGTGTGTTTTATTAAACTTTTTGTGCGTTTGTGAATTTATTTCGCTGTGGTTTGCAATTTACATGTGTTTGATATTATTTTAAATTATATTTGTGAGCGTGTTTGTTGATGTTGTTGTTGTTGTTGTTGTTGTAGGGATGGCGCTCTTGTTCGCGGTCTAGGCATAGAACGGTGGCCACCGACTTCTTAGGAGTCTAATATGTTAGAGAAAACATCTTTGTAAAGCTCTGAGGTCAGTCACCACTAACTTTCCATTCTAGCTTATTCCACTTACTATTGCACTGGAGAAGTGCCTCTATGCAATTGCAGGGGATCGGTGGAAACTGGAAAGACCCACATGTCCTTACGTCGTGCCTTTGTCCTTGTTAAGCATTTCATGTCCACCTTGTCCATGAAATCTTGTATGTCGTGATCATATCGCCTGTCTGTTTTGCAGCGTAAATAGTCGTAGTTCTAATAATCGTAGTGATAGTTTAGGAATAATCTGTATGCATTATTTTCCGTGTGTGAACGCAATGTCTTCTGTATGCCCGCCAATGGCGTTCACACGCAAATTGTGTAGGAATATGACGAGAAGAGACAGGCGGCATTTCCTGTGTGAAGTCAAATCGACGGCACGTGCTGTTCGGGATCCACACACACAGCATTGAGAACACCTGGTTGACGGTTGAGAGGCGGGACCAAAGAGCCAGAGCTCAACCCCCGCAAACACAACTAGGTGAGTACCTGGGTAACCCACACTAGCCTGACCTACATCATTAACACCAGACTAATGCCCCGTAAGTTAACACTGAATCGAGAGGAAATTAATCGCATTTGGTGAATTAATCGCATCTCTGGGTTAATCAAAAATTATGCGGTTATTAGCTATACCGCGTGTGGATGTGAACTACCTCGTTTTAGAGGTGTTACTTAGGCTTAACGAGATCCCCCCCCCCCTAGACACTGACCTTCGCCAGGATGCAACCCACAACAGTCACCTAACTCCCGGGTAGCTATTGTATTGCTAGGTGAACAGAGGCGTAAGGTGAATGGAAACGTCCCCCCCCAACCGTTTCTGTTCTGTCCGTAGAATGAGCCGAAAATATAGACCACTGAGAAAATAAAATTTACATTATTATTGCACTGTATCTTGTATCAAACTTATCTGTCTTGCAGTATCAATATTATATTATTCATTATACATTGACAAACCAGTATTATATCATAGTATACATAATTCTTAAATTATGCCAAATATATGTCAAATCCATATCTATAATGGATATATATATGCTGCCTATATATCTATAATGGATGGATATAATCCATCCATTATAGATATATAGTTAGAATTATTAATCTTGCCCTTTCGGTCATATTCAATAACATATGTTTACAAGAAAGACTGCTACCAAAATACTCTTTATTTATATATATATATATATATATATATATATATATATATATATATATATATATATATATATATATATATATATATATATATATATATATATATATATGCCGTACCTAGTAGCCAGAATGCACTTCTCGGCCTACTATGCAAGGCCCGATTTGCCTAATAAGCCAAGTTTTTATGAATTAATATATTTTCTCTAATTTTTTTCTTATGAAATGATAAAGCTACCCATTTCATTATGTATGAGGTCAATTTTTTTTATTGGAGTTAAAATTAACGTAGATATATAACCGAACCTAACCAACCCTACCTAACCTAACCTATCTTTATAGGTTAGGTTAGGTAGCCGAAAAAGTTAGGTTAGGTAGGTTAGGTAGTCGAAAAACAATTAATTCATGAAACTTGGCTTATTAGGCAAATCGGGCCTTGCATAGTAGGCTGAGAAGTGCGTTCTGGCTACTAGGTACGACATTATATATATATATATATATATATATATATATATATATATATATATATATATATATATATATATATATATATATATATATATACACTACCTACTGTTACATTCTTCTGTTAGAATATGCTGGAACGCCCTCCAACGGCCCGCTGGGAAGAGGTGAATTCCACATCACCCCAAAGTGCCTTAAACCTTCCCCCCCCCCCAAGAGTTCCTCAGCTGTATACAAACATACTTTGGTAATATTTGGTATTTAATCCTAAACCCACACACTAAAACCTTGAAAACACACTGTGTATTTCCCCACACGTATATGGCACATGATGTCTCGTACCTATTGACCTATGAAGGCTCCTGGCCGACAGGATAGATAGGGTGTCATACTTCAAAGTTAGTATTTCCATGCCGGTGAGTAAATACTGTCTTGCGGGCGTAAGTAATAGTGGATTTTTGTACCGATGGTCAACGGTGATTGTGTGGATCGTTTAATACATATACTGTATATATGTTTATTTTTTGTCCCCAAACTCCCCTTGTCACATCCGGGGGGGGGGGATAAGAGTGTTGCTCTAGCTTCGGGGCCCCAGCCATAAGGTATGGGGCGCTTAGGCCCCTTAGCACTAACCCTAAAAAAAACATTATATCCTAAAAACAACTAAGAAACATAAATGTGGCAATTGATGGCACATCAAAATAAAATAAAATGGAGACATAAACAATACATAGAAATATTAAAACTTGCAATAAAATCAAATCGCAGGCATGCCAAACAATGAATGAATTGGCTCTCGAGGAGACGATCACCTTACTTGTCATGCGCGCATGGACAAAAATATCACGGAGAAGGCATGCCTGGCTTGCCCTAGTCAAGTCCCCGGAGAGAGAAAAAGGACCATGCACGCACGTGTCCCTCCAGCCATAACTTATCCTCTCACGGGTTCGGTCAGGCCACCCACCATCTCCACAACAGCCACAGTGGTACCCCCAAGATGACGTTCGGCACCCTAGCCAGAGTCCACTCACCCTAGTTGTTTCGTGGGTATTCGAGGCACAAGGGTAAGACCAACCATGCCCATGTCCAGGGGTGATCATTAGCAACCCCTTCCCGTGCTCTTAGACCACATACCATAAATCGAGTACGTCCAGGTTAGAGCTTGAACGGATCAGATCTCCAAGTCTCCGTTAGTCAGCCTCAACCCTTTTAGAACACGGGCACTCTCCATGCAAAACCCGCCTCTCCCATTCAAAGTGATTGAAGAGGCAGAAGCTGCACTGGCACCGGTATAATCCCTGACCCACTGAAGGATCTCGGGGGGTGCCGTACTGGTCACACTTGCTCTGGTGTGGCCGGGAGAGTGGGAAGCCGTCAGCAGAGACCTGGGTGTCTAAAATTATGGCCTCGTTTCTTTGCGAGCAATGATGTCTGGCATGCAAAAGGTCCCACCATTGGGTACCCGCACCTCCCCACCAACCTGTCCTCTTAAAAATAACGTCGCTTTTGGCCATTTGCCCGTATGGCCGAAAGTGGACATAATTTGAAAATGAAAAAATGAAAATAAATTGGGGATTTTTTTTTCAACAACAGTAAGTTAAGAGTCCTCTGGTAGGTTAGGTGGGCAGGAAATTCTCATAAAGTTTCAAAACGTTATAAAAAACGTTAATTGAAAGTTTCCTCTCCTAACCTTTCCGAGTAGGCCGAACGACTCAAACAGAAAACGGGACAGTACGTCACGTTTGTGAGTCGATTTCATTTCAAATTACGTCCAGTTTTGGCCATAGCGCGCAAACGAGCGAAAAGCGACGTTATTTTTAAGAGGACGGGTTGCACCACCACCTACCCTCGCTGTCTCAATCGACCAGCTACGAACCTTGTGATATTGTCATGACGTACCACCTGCGCTCCGTGCGTCCTCGGGCATGCTTGTGAGATATGCCCAAGGGTGCCAGGTTTCCTGCATGTATCGCACATCCCACTCGCACCTGGGCGTCCCCTAGCGGCCCGTGACGGCGTGGCCAAAGCGTCAGCTCTCACCTGGACTGCGAGAGCGAACTCACCACCGCTCAAAAGGCGAGAGCCGGACGAGATCCACCCCAAGCACGAGGGAACCTCGCACGAGGACCTCAGTCGAGCACCATCGGCCGTGCGGTAGTCTCTCTCTCTCTCTCGCCAAGTCCGAGAGCGCTCGGCTCTATTGGTTGCCGGCTCGTCCCCAATCAAGGCCGTGCCAATCCATCGACGCATCTTATCATGGAATGCTGGTAGAAGGGCCGCTGCCGTGACGGTTGGGCCAGCCGACTCCAATAGACTGCCGAAACGCTCGTTCTTATGCAGCCGAATCGAATAGGCAAATTCGGGCATCCACCAGACCACAGTCCTTCCAACAATCACTATTAACGCTAAAGACCAATCACTGGTAACGTAGCAGTCCAGACGGAGACCAACCACTACCAACGCACCAGTCCAGACGAAGGCCAGCCGCCACCAACGCACCAGTCCAGGTGGAGACCAACCGCCACCAACGCACCAGTCCAGACGAAGGCCAGCCGCCACCAACGCACCAGTCCAGGCGGAGACCAACCGCCACCAACGCACCAGTCCAGACGAAGGCCAGCCGCCACCAACGCACCAGTCCATACGAAGGCCAGCCGCCACCAACGCACCAGTCCAGGCGGAGACCAACCGCCACCAACGCACCAGTCCAGGCGGAGACCAACCGCCACCAACGCACCAGTCCAGGCGGAGACCAACCGCCACCAACGCACCAGTCCAGACGGAGACCAACCGCCACCAACGCACCAGTCCAGGCGGAGACCAACCGCCACCAACGCACCAGTCCACGAAGGCCAGCCGCCACCAACGCACCAGTCCAGGCGGAGACCAACCGCCACCAACGCACCAGTCCAGACGGAGACCAACCGCCACCAACGCACCAGTCCAGACGGAGACCAACCGCCACCAACGCACCAGTCCAGGCGGAGACCAACCGCCACCAACGCACCAGTCCAGACGGAGACCAACCGCCACCAACGCACCAGTCCAGACGGAGACCAACCGCCACCAACGCACCAGTCCAGACGGAGACCAACCGCCACCAACGCACCAGTCCAGACGGAGACCAACCGCCACCAACGCACCAGTCCAGGCGGAGACCAACCGCCACCAACGCACCAGTCCAGACGGAGACCAACCGCCACCAACGCACCAGTCCAGACGGAGACCAACCGCCACCAACGCACCAGTCCAGACGGAGACCAACCGCCACCAACGCACCAGTCCAGGCGGAGACCAACCGCCACCAACGCACCAGTCCAGGCGGAGACCAACCGCCACCAACGCACCAGTCCAGGCGGAGACCAACCGCCACCAACGCACCAGTCCAGACGGAGACCAACCGCCACCAACGCACCAGTCCAGACGGAGACCAACCGCCACCAACGCACCAGTCCAGACGGAGACCAACCGCCACCAACGCACCAGTCCAGACGGAGACCAACCGCCACCAACGCACCAGTCCAGACGGAGACCAACCGCCACCAACGCACCAGTCCAGGCGGAGACCAACCGCCACCAACGCACCAGTAGTAGGGTGTGCGACGCACAGGGGATTTTTTTTTTCTGGGAGAAAAATCCCCTGTGCGCCCCAAGGGTTTCAGGTAAATTTAGAAAATCCCCTGTGCGCCCCAAGGGTTTCAGGTAAATTTAGAAATTCGTGTTTGTGAGCCAGGGTTTTTCAGGCGAATTTGGGCAGTCACAGATTTTAGAAGTATGGATTTCTTATGAGAAAAATAATTTCCGAGACTTAGAAGTTTGTTAAAGCCTTATGGGAGAAATTCAAATAACGTGTGTAGCACTTTAGGGCTTCCAGGAGAACTCTACGGACATATTTTACATGTTTTCAACTTACAAAATCGTCTATGTAAGCCTTAGTTATTCATATAAATTTAGAAAATCACCTGTGTAAGTCAGGGTTTCGTACATCACACCCCCCTCCCTCCCCCCCTTGACTCGCAATCTGTCGCCTCACCTGTATTTACTTTAGACGTCAGCCAGCCAGCCAGCCAGTCGGCTCTTAATCTTATCTTATCTTATCCATAATATCTGGACCGTCCCTCCTCTCTCTCTCTCCTCTTCATATTATTCCCTCTTCCTATTTTCTGACATACTAATATTTTATTCCTTTTTCATTAACCAGTCAGTTTTATACAAATCAACCGAAGCATCTCAATGTAACCTTTAATACTGAAAACTGCCTCAGAGACTATCTAAGCTGGCCCCAGCTACCCGCCCCAGGCTATCTGCCCGAGGCAATCATCACCTGATTACCTGCCCCAGACATCCACCAGTCATTGTCGGCGTTCGCCACCGTAATAATTTATATATATATATATATACATTAAGCGTTAATAAAACTTATTTATTTATTTACAATTTATTTAGTCATCTAATTCATAGTTTACACAATTTATAATAAACGACTCATTTAGCCCTAAGTTCTAAGAAGCTCGCTCCTCAATCCGCTTGTATAATATCCGTCCTATTCACTCTTCATCTCTGTAAATAAAGAATAACAGTTTCAGATAGCGTTTACACATGTACAATATTTATCATACACATAAAACCTCAAAACAAATGTACTCACCATTTCCCATTAGATAATTTGTTATAGCCTCATTCAGCCAGTCGTCTCCAAGCACATTTTCCAACAAATATCGCTCTTATCATAACACAGCGTTTCATAGCAGCTCGGCATATTTTTAAATAAAGCATAAGATAGCCTCATTACGTTCCTATCATTCTGCATATATTCTCCATAAGTAAAACTAGTTTCAAATAGCTTTATTGCAGTTTTTAGATCCTTGTTTGAAAGATGGTAACAGAAAAACATCGCATATAGCCCGCATACGTAAGTATTTAAACTCTGAAGTCTCTCTGTAAACGTGTATACATCACAGTCTTTATAATAATTTAAAAACTCCGAAATGTATGGCGAATACACATTTATTCCATATGAATCGAGTATAACTATTTTCCGTTTAGATTTATATACAGCAATCCAATGACCCATTACTTCCTTAGAGTCTCTTCCTAAGGTATTTATTATAAACATAATCGGTCTGTCCCGTATTTGCTTCATTATTCTATATATATCCGTCGCTAAATAGCATCCAATATATTTAGCTTTACTACCTTTCATATCGTTCAATGCCGTATTAATTTGTTTGCAGTTCATGCTCTTGTATCACACACAACTCGCCTATCGGAATAAATTCTCAATACTCCCGTTGTAATTCCGAATAAAATAATAACTTTATTTGATTTCGCTGGAACAGCAAATTCTAATGTAATTCTCAGGTTGCCCGAAGCCTCTATAGGAAGGGTATCTCTCAATTCCTCAGGCGTTAGTCTAAATGCCAGTAATGTTCTTCCTTTTATAAAAGAATTATATGTCAAGGTATTACAAGCATTAAAGCCTACTGTATTTTGAGTCTCGTAGTATAGTTTCGAACATTTATTCGGGAACTTGCAAGTTATATTAAATAAGTTTGTCCCATCACGTGTAATATATACATTAGATAAATCGCAGTGATCGAAATAAAGTGGATTAAGTGTATACGCTCCCGATATTGCTTCCATATCCATCATCATAATAAATAATTTATCTGGGATAATGCTCCCCCATGGCTGGTCAATACTTAATCTCTGCTGCCCATTACCGAGAATGAACGTCTTATGGAGTGTCTTATCAAACGTATATGTAACTGGTGTATTTTGTTCAGCCAGAGCTCTATTAATAGCCTCCAATCCAGATGCAAATGGAGTTATCCGATCAATCCACATTCTAGCTAGTTTTATGTTAAACTTATATCCAGATTCAATACTGTTTATAACCCACGGATCACTGTTAAGTTCTAATCTCAAACGAATATCAATTCCATCCAAAAGATATTCGCTCAAAGTTGTAATGTCCAATAGCAGTTTAAAGCAACAATTTACTCCCTCAGTTTTTAACTTTACAAATCTAGATTTAAGGTCTTCTGAGGCATTCTTAAAATAATCTACATCATATTTTTCAGGGAAAACATCATTATAGAAATACGTCAGTTCTTTAAATCTTTCAGCTTTACATTCAGAAAGCGTCGTCATTAGCTTTACATATGATAAATATGAAAATAGTGAATTAGTTTCCACCACTTGCTCATTTAAATAAACAGTTACAGCTTTAAACATTGTCTGGGACAAACCATTGACTATTGATGCATTTTTAATATCCGCTAAAGCCGTATTTCCGTCAGGTCCCGTTAATTCAACCATCAGTTCTAGCGTCAAGCTCGAAAGATCAATAAATTGACCCTTAACTCCCGGGATACGGAATTCAATATAAGAATCTTTAAATTTATTGTTAATACTTGAATTCACAGGTAAAATATCCTGTGTCTGTCTTGAAAATATCGTACTTTCAACCATTCTATGAGGACTAACTTTAGGAAAGCCATCACTTATAGCAGCTGTATAATTTTCTAAAGGAACTTGCAATGCTGCACTAGGAGCATTTACACTCATCATGTCTGCGTCTAGCATACAACTAGTACTGTTTTTATGAAAACACGTCTTTATATCTATCCATTTTCTTTATATAGGCAGGTCTTTTCGTTTTTCTTTTCGTTATTCGGCCACCTGCTAACAATTTAGGACCTATACTTTTCAATGTTTCCATACCGCGTTTTCTAATTGAATCTTTCAAAGTACCTTGACCGGCATTTATATCCTGCAAAACATTCTGTCCCATTGTCAATGCAGCTGGCATGATAGTTTTTAATAGGAAAGGAGTTGCTCTACGAGCTAGACCAGTTAAGAAACTTAATATTCCACCTCCTCTTAAATGTCTTCTATCAAAAACAGTAATATCGCCCAGTGCTCCACCTCTCTTCCCTCGAGGAGCGATAAATCGCCCTACCTCGTCAACAGACAGCGGTACAAACCCGACCCTCATGTTTAAACAGGCCAAGAGAGAATGATAAACTCCCTCTACTCATGCCATTATATATCAACGGGTCTAATATGTAATACTGCAATCGTACATCCATCCTTTTCAAAATATACAGGCTCCCCATCTTGATCTGTTAATCTAATACTGATGCCATCAATATTAGTCGTATTTAAAGGTTTATATAATTTCCTGTGTGTTACATTACTTTGAAACGAAACAACATCCAAGATATTTACAATCTGATTACCAAACATGGTGGGCTGCACCTTATCACAATATACACACAAGAAATCTATACGGCCTCCTGGCCTAGGATGATAATAGCAAGTATCTTGTACAAATAACCTGTTATTAGGTGGCTTATTCATAATAAAAATATCATAGGCTTTACCTACTTCAGCTCCAATAACTTTACATATATTTCGACCGAAAGATAAAGAAATTCGAACAACTAATTTTCCATCCTTTGTAATAAATAATTTTAACAACTTCTCACTAAATGCTGCATTAAACTTAATTCGATTAATACTCGAATCATATTTCATATAAACGTCCCCGTGATCTGGGAAATTATAATTAAGTACGGGTCCTATAAAACTCAGTGAACCTTTTGAAAATATAGTAGAAATTTCTCTATTTAAAATAGTCGTTAGCTCTATGCAATTATCACTGGCTAAAATATCCGACTTTAAAGTGAAAGATGTATTCACCGTACTCAAATCAGATAAACTTTTATTAGACACTAGAAGTTGAACTGAAATAAAACTTTCCGGGTCATTCCTCCTAACAGCGAAATAAGATGGAGGCAGGAATATATTCTTCAGGCACACTTCATAAGCTTTATTCGGGTCTAAAGGCAACTGATTATGTAATCTATTTTCAAAAGCATTGGGAGCATTGTTTTTAAATACATCAGTATCAGAGTTACTCGCTGCATATATAACGTAACTATCCATCCTGTAGACTAATAGTAAATGATAAAAATAAACAGAAACTCACCTTAATATGATATCCAGGTAGACTCTCCTTCATCTACAGCCTTGATCTTCCTCTTCAAACTTGGAGGAGAAAACACTTGATTTTTCGCATCTACATTTCTAAATAAATTCTTAGGTGTAGATGTCAAAGAGTAGAACAACTTTGCAATTGGCAGTTTATCTTCTGGGAATAACAATTTCGGAGTACACATCCTGCCTATAACGTCATCAACAATATTGAGCCCAGTAACTGGCGATGTAATGTTCCCTTCCTCATCCCACTTTACAAGTCCAGTTGTATTAAAATAATTTAACAAGGAGACAGCAAAATCATAATCCTTAAGCTTTAATCTTAAGTCTATCAAGTGTTGTATAACAGGATTTGTTCTCACTGTCATCGTAGGCTTCTCAACACTTACTGCCGTAGGCTTCTGTTGATCAATAGCTTTTCGTGGTACAAGATAGAATTCTTTCATTATTCCTTATTAAATAGCCTTGAAATGAAATTTATAGCTATAGGAAGTAAAATGCCCAATAAATTACCTCCTCTTTTACTTGTTAATATGTCTTTCTTGAGTGAAATAGCTTTCTTCTTACAGGCTAATGTATGGAGTAGAGCTC